CCCCCCCCCCCTGCCTACATTGGGTAGCCGCGCTTGCATGTTCGGATCGATGCGTGGAGTGGGTACGTCCCCCACGCCGCGGCCCGGCCATGCAAACATAGGCACTCCCTCATCCCCCATCCATCTACGTCCTTGTGATTCCGTGTTCTTCGCGCATGCATGCACGCTATAAATTCCGGCTGCGCGATTAACTTGCTCTCTTAACTATTGCTGGAAGCTCGGGGTTGCGCGACGACGGACTGTCGGCACACGAGCGAAGTAAGAGGTGAGGGAAGTGGGAGTCGGGCGACCCGACGAGCTGGTGCCGAATGCGCGGGGTTGACGCGGGCCACGACGGACTGTGGGCGAGGAGCGAACCCGACGGGCGCAGGAGGACTAAGCGGGGTGACGACTTCGTGGGTTGGTGCGCGACGACGAACTGTCGGCATCAGAGAGTGAGAGAGAATGAGAGTTGAGGTTGAGTTGGGCATGGACTTGCATCTTTCTTTTTCGTTCCTTTTTCATCTGGGTATATAAATTTTGGTGTCGATTACGGGCGACTCGCCCTTGTCTTTTGCGGCCCTCTTTGTCTTTTGTTTCGACTTGGTTTTCTCTCAATGTTTTCCGTTTTAATTTCTTTCTCGGACCTTCTTTTCGCGAAATGATGTATCGATACCCCGCGCACATCTTGCACTTCGTTTTTGATGGACGTCCCGAACTTATGAAATCGGATGGGAATGGAGATGGCATGTTGGCATGATCGATTGGATGTCTGTCGTCTCACAATGATCGTCTGACAAGCATGACCTGACGTATCGTATGCACGCATGTAAGCACGATCCGAACGGAGTGCGGCTTACACACGTCCAGACCGCCCGGACCCATAAATTGTGTCCTATCTGTCGCACGAGGTTAGCCCTTCGCCAGGCCGGGAGTTGATATCCACAGGATCGGGTTAACGATCGCCCGCAAGTGCGCGCAAGTGCGACTCATTCGCGTCTTTCTTACGCACTTGCGGACGGTGATTTCGCCGAACAACTTGTCCCCTAGGGTGTGTAGGATGAAAGAATGACGAGCTCGCGAAGCTGCGACGTATCTTGGAATTCCGAGGATTTCGACGCGTATTTCGGATATCGGGAACTCTGGGAAGAAGAACAACGTCGGTTACGAGGAAATTTGAGCAACCCGAAATTCCCTTGTCTTGCGGAACGCGATAGAGTATGCGCCAGGGAATTCCATCTCGCCGTAAGAAGCGATCCACGAGGACCAGAATACCCAAACACTTATAACATGCAATATTTTATATCCCCCGGTTTCGTCATTGTCGCTCGTAATTCCCCGCCTTATCATCTTCTTCTCCCCTATCATCAGCTCACAGTGGTACCGTGGAATTCCATAGCCCCCTACTGGCCGCGAACTCCGTGTAGGAATTGCAGCCGACACGATAATTTCCGAAATCCCAGAGCCGTGGAGCCGAGACATGCCCCGCACCAGCAGGCGACACGTGGCGGAACCCGAAGGCCCAGGCCTCGAGGACCACTCCGCCCGGCTTCCCCGAACCGACGATCGCGTCAGGATCGAACGGCCCTGCACCACCAACGTGCCAGCCCGCGCCCGTAAATTTTCCCATTGCTCTATTGCATCTATGCCCCTTAACCTTGCCACAGGAGATCTCAGTTCTGACCTGGGACTCCACCCCCACCTTCCAAAAATCCTTGGCACACCCCTTTTCACACTTCCAGGCCCACATCTCACTCCAATCAGGAAGTCACGCCGGGCGTGAGGTTTGGGCGTCACATGTTACTACAGGCAGTCCAATCATGGTTTGGGGATGAGTCTTATGAGTGCGCTGCGAAGCAACAAGGAAGTGGCCAAGGCTATCGTTAAGGAGTACGGTCGTGTCATCTCCTTTCCGGATGGATGGCACATGGAGGACTGCATGGATCACTTCGAGCGAAAACGTTTCCTCGGATGTGTAGGCGCTATTGATTGCACCCATTTGTACATCGCGAGCGTGCAGAGTGCTACTACAATTGCACAAGACCATTCTCCATTGTCGCACAAGTGGTGTGCAACCACGAGTGCAAGATTTCGAACGTTTACGTCGGACCCCGAGATCAGTCCTTTCTTCCGCACTTCTTCCGCCGATCTAGGATACCCATCGACCTTCATGCGCCTCGCCACACAAGCATTCCTCAACGACCGCCGCTGATGTTTTTGTCTCGGCAGGGTGGCGACCATCATCGTGCAATCCTCTCGCATATATCTCGTGAGGGCCACCCGCTCTTCCAAAGACCAATTCTTCTTCTGCTGCTTCCCTCCTTCCGTGTCGTCATCACTCCCCCCCTCCCCGGCCGCCAAATCGGACGATGCTTGTTTGTCGGGATTTGTCTTTTGTCCTCTACCCGACTTCCTGCTACTTGGAGGAGCAGACGTCGCAGGGAACGTAGCATCATCGGGAAGGGGAGTGCCCTGTCGGGCCTTCCCACATTACAGAGTGGGAATGGTTTGGGTTTTCGGCCCCTCGAATGACATGCTCATTGCCTACCCTGCCAATGTCGACGAACGAGATGGATCTGGCGGAGGTCTGAAGCCATACAACGGACTCGTATCGGGAGCCATGTACGTCACTGCATGCGACTATGCCCTGCCTGCGTCCTCGAAGCGGTGAGCGGATCCACCCCCCGCACCAAACCCGCAATTGTCGATGACAAGAGGGAGGGTGGAGGTGGGGCAAAGTTCACAGACGGCAGGCGGCCATAACCCATGGGATCGTGATTCCAAGCAGGGGCTGTCCCATAGCTGTCCGGGTATGACGCTGCTTGCCACTTGCTGTCAACGTTAGAAGGAGACGATGACATCCCCATGGCCAGCTGGGCCTCGAAGTGTTCGCCCTCCCCCCTTTTGCCACCTGTCTTCCTGCCAGGATCATCCACGGTGTAACGATCATGTGACCACCGACGTCCGTCCATACCGTCCATGTTCTCCATTTACCTCTTCCGCAATCTGCTCACATACGCACGTATCTGCGTATCTACCTCTCTCTCTCTCTCTCTCTCTCTCTCTCTCTCTCTCTCTCTCTCTCTCTCTCTCTATATATATATATATATATATATATATATATATATATATATTTTTGTCTATGTCTCTCTCTCTCTCTCTCTCTCTCTCTCTCTCTCTCTCTCTCTCTCTCTCTCTCTCTCTCTCTATATATATATATATATATATATATATATATATATATATATATATATCGTCAAATAGAACTGCCCGGTAAACCGTAGGCAGAGAGGGAGAAGAGGACAACAAACGAGGGGCTGTGACAAACTGTTTCGTATATATATATATATCGTCAAATATATATATATATGTGTGTGTGTGTCTATTTATCTATCTATCTATCTATCTATCTATCTATCTATCTACCTATCTATTTATCTATCTATCTATGTATTTCTATGAATCCTTCCCATGCATCACTGGTCCCTCATGAGATACCAAGCGGCGAAGCCGATAAACAACAAAAGCAAAATGCTTGCAATGAACAACAAAGGAACACCAAATGCAACAACGAAGAAGAACGAACGCGGGAAGCCAAAGCTGCCACCTTTGCATCGTGGCAAGCACCCGACCTGTGAATGACAATGACAGCAGGACCACGACATCCACAACAACAGCCTGCGTATGGAGACACTCGCAATGGACGACCTGATAGAGAGTTGCACACCACACCTTCACGATTTCTCACAACAAACATCAAACCCTCTATCAAACAAACGCGGCATGTCTCATCCCCCAATATCCATGGGCGGTTGAGCTGGCACACACCAACACCCGGCCTGCTCCAATGTGTGGAGAGAACTCCGCCATCAAAGGTTCCCGAGGCAGCCCGCACACGAACGTCGGTGACTGGTGGACGCAATCGAGGGAGGTAAGGAATGAGACCGAACACCTTATCACACACTCTACCCTCGTGAATGTTGCACACACTCGCCAACCTTTCAAAGTGTGAAGGAGGTTCGCACAAATCGGAATTTTGAAATCGTGGGCCCCCTTAGGGCGCGGGAAAATTCAAAAACCGGTGGGGAATCAGGTCTCCCGATCCCACACGGTGCCACGGTACCGGCCCAAACGGTAAGCGTGTGACAAAAGCTCATCTGGTCCGCGCTTCGGTCCTGTGGGAAAAAGGTCGGACATGACAAAAGCTCGTGTCCGGCCTTTTTCCCACAGGACGGAAGCGCGGACCTTCACATGTCTGCATTGAAGGGTGGCAACTTCTGTTCTGTGGGGTCCCGGAAATCACTTTCCAACTTCCGAAACCGTTTGCCGCCGTCCTGTGGGGTCCCACCCTAACTCAAAGTTGATGAGGCCGGGGACCTCACAATTCAACCCGGTAATTACTCACAGCATCAGCCAGCTTAGCTTACAGACTTGCGTCTGCAGAAGTCCTCACTACTGACTTCCAAGTCCTATATAGATCCAGGTTCCTGCACAGGGAGCTAACAAAGGGCTACATGGCAGTGGGTAGAACAGTAGTGGGAAACATCTGAGAGCAAAACCAAGCTAAACTGTGTGAATCTGGGACAAGCTCGGCAGGCTCAGACGAGTGGAGCGCTGGCGCTGCACGGCGGCCTCAAGCACGTTGTCGCTGATTGAGGAGGCAAGTTCAGGCAACCATCTCAGTATGGGACAACCCAGAACAGGCAAGGGTAGTCGAAATCTGCACCAAAGGCCAGCAGCACAGGTTCTGTCTTTGGTCGGGAAAGTACCGTTGCGCCAGCTGAAGGTGGATCCAATAGCATGGGCCTGGTCCGTCAAGTCCACGGACGACACTGATCTCAGTCTGCTGAGGTACTCGGTCTCGCATGTGGCCACCAGCGCACTTAAACCGCCAGCCCAAATCGCGGTAGTACCGTTGTGCCAGCTGAAGGTGGATCCAATAGCATGGGCCTGGTCGGCCAAGTCCACGGACCACACTGATCTCAGTCTGCTGAGGTACTCAGTCTCACATGGTTATCAGCTCGCCACTAGCGCACTTAAACCACCAGCCCAAATCGCGGTTTCACGATGGCAGGCAATCTGGCCAGAAGACCTCTCTGGGTACGAACCAGAATTTGAGAAATTATGGAAGAATCTGACAGCATTCGTTGGTTACTGTCCCTGTCGGTACCTCTCGGCAGTCTGGCTTTTGAGCAGGGGTATGGAGGTGGATCTACGCTGCACAAGGTGTAGGTGGCCATTTGAGTCCACCCTCCATCTCTGGTGGGACTGTCCAGCATCAAAACGTATCTGGAAATGGTGGTCCCACCACTGGACGGCGTTTGGCGGTCAGGGAGTGGAGTGGGATGAGAAGTGGGCTCTGTTTGGCTACCTCCCATCCAACCTGCATGGTCACCGGGGATGGGGGTATGTGGCAATGTTGTCAGAGGTTTGGTGTGTGAAGTAATACAGATGGACAGAAACAGAGCCAAGTTCCAAAGGAGGCCCTTCTCTTATCTGGAAATTAAGTCCCAGATCAAATGGGGGCTGAAGCAGGTGGATTGGAGGAAGAAAGCAAGAGCAGGAAAAGGTTGTCATCGCCAGTTGTGTTGGTTTCTCCACAAATGGGCAAAGGATCATCAGCTGGCGGCAGTTCACTCAAGGAAAGGTCTGGTTCTATGTCATTGGATCAGAGACCCAGACAAATAGGATGGAGAGATCGGCAGAACATAGAGCCGTTGGACACGAAGATCAAGACTCTCCGTCGGATGAACCACACAATCTACCTAAGAGTGTCACGGGTGATAGTTCAGGGCACTCAGTTCCCCAGGGCCGCGGTTGGCCAGCAGGAGAGTGCCAATAGGACCAGGACCCATAGAGGTCCTCTGGGCCGAGCAACTCTCAAAGTCTCTATCTTTCCGATAAACCTCGGTAGTTAAACCACCAGTACTTCCAAAAATTGGTCCGCGTTAACGGCCAGCCAAAAGTGGAAACCGCACCGTTTCCACTGGGCTGAATCGGGGCGACCGGCCCAGGCCCGTTCGCCCGTTCATTCCAAAAGTCCTGCCCGTTAACGAGGAACAATTTTCAGAAGTACTGGTGGTTTAACATTACGACTCTCTCTATCTTATGGTTTGTGGTAGTGGTTAGGGTGATTTGAAACTCTTCATTGAAAGTGGTCAAGTCTCATATAGAGTAGAGTGAGTTGGGTGTGCTTGACCCACCCACTCGCAGAATTGGCGAAATCATTGTTGACAATTTGCTATCGGGGACGAAGATGTCCATTGGTATTGACTTGTTGAGATTATGTTGGCACGTACATAGGTTGGAATAACTTTCAACATTTGGAAAGCAATGATGCTAGACTTCTCCACAAATAAAAGTCAAGCATGGCTTGGAAGGCCATCATTAGGGCCCGGAGAAACTTGAAAAGGAAGTAAAAGGACAAATCATGTTTGCCAACCACCTCCTTAGAGATAGCTAAAAGCCAATCAACGGCATGAGGCCTTTTGGTTGAAAATGGACATAAAGGAGAGTTCCAAGAGTTGCATATTTATATGGGATGACAACTCAAATTCAAGGCAATGTTACTGCTTTTTATGTTGTAAAAAATGGTACTAAAAAACAAAATTAAAAAATAGAAATAAGAACCTCCTGGGTAGTAGTTCAACTTGTAGACTGTAATCGAAGGGAGAGTGGGTGGGTATGTGATGTGGGGCTTGTGCTACTTATTTATCCCAACTGGCAGTTGAGGAACAGGAAAGGCGAGCCACTAGAATATGCAATTTTGGATTTTTGGAGTAGTGTTTTTTTTTTCTTTTTTTCTCTGAGGAAAACTTTCTGAAATACCCCTGAAACTGCACATGTATGCTGAAACATCCCTAAAAGATGTCGGTAGAGCGGAATATCCCTCTGAAATTCAAAAGTTTGTGAAATGCCTTTTTGGATTTAAACTTTTGCATTCCACCCCTGTCAGGGGGTTGTGCAAGTTCGCATTCTACCCCTCACAGGGGTACAGCACAAACTTGTCATTCCCCTGACAGGCTAGGCTGTTTGTCCGGGCGCCCGGGCACCCAACTTGTGCCTGGATACATGCATGGGTGGAGCATGAACCCCAGGCAGGGTTCCGTTCAGGCCCAGCGCCAAAAGCAAAAAAAAAAAAATCAAAAAATTCCAGAGAAAAAAAATGGTGTTCAGAATTGCATTGCAGACCGCTTTTGGCTGAGTGACATCCGAATTCCTCACAGAATCGAAGATGAAATGGAAAACAACAACATCAGAGAAAGGCATCCCCCTTTAAACCCCTTTAGCCCCTTAAAAACCAATTTATACCCCTCTCCCCC